TTTGACCTGTTTAGTAAATCTGGCCCTATATTAAAATAAAGAAAATTCCGTTTTCCTGTGTCAACACTAGTTGGAACTCAATTTGGTTAAAGTGAATAAAAAAAAAAAAAATATGGTGACAGATCAACACGTTCTTTCTGAATTGTTAAATAGAGATGCCTGACGGTTTTTCTCTCTTCTCTACTATTTTCTTTGTGTCCAGCCTCGTTTCCTGTGTTTGACAGGAAGCCCCCGTCCACCTGTCATTCTCAGAGCTCCGATGACAAACACAGTGATGGTGCTGCAGCATCTGGCGGACTTTGCAGACATCAGTGGATGGTCAGTGGTGTTAGTATTTATACCAACAAAGGCAATGTAGTGGGAAACATCTGTGACATGCTGTCGATTACCACAGACAATAATTTCCCTTCATTTCTTAAAATGAACAGGAAGTGTTTAACAAAACTTCCCCCATAAGTGGCCTGAATTATTGTAAACAGTTTTTTGTTGTTGTTTGTACAGGATCTGAGTCGTGTTCTTTATTTCCCTCACACACAGGAGGAATTCAGTCATCCAGTGGACAGTCTGGCCTTAACAGTGGATGAAGTCATCAACGTGCGCCGGATACTCATCAAGGCTGAGATGGAGAAATACATGCAGAACAAAGAGCTTTATAATAATCTGAAGAAAGGCAAGGTGTGAATAGCTGAATGGATCATATGATCAACATCAGTCCAGCAAGCCAAAGAAAACAGTGTTCATTTCTGTTTTGTTCATCTTTGTTTTTTAGATATGCTGCTGTTGTCGGATGAAGTTTCCACTGTTTTCATGGCCGTCCACGTGCCTCCTGTGTAAAAGGTCTTGATTTCATATTCATAAATATTTCCTGCAACATGTAAGATTAGCATTGTCTGATTCGCTGTTCTGAAGATTCATGTTAATCATCACAGTTAATGTGATTCTTTCTCTTTCAGGTCTGTTTGTAGCTCTTGTAGTGCAAAGGTACTAAATATTTATTTCATTTAAATCTCATGCAGCAATTTAGTAGTCGATAGTAATAATCCACGATATTTAATCCATGGTACAATAGAGTTGGATTGGACTCACAGCCTTAGACTTCATTTACAAATGATACGGGAAGCCCTTTCTCCTCCAAAAGTTGATAGATTTATTTATTATGCATGATTATATGGTTGACTGCATTCTGTTACATTATTATCCTGTTCCATTATTTCTATTATTATCTGTTCTCCTACCATCTGAGGACCAATGCTTTAGGGCTTCTTGTTTAATTTTTTCTGAAGTAATTCTCATTACACACTGCTATTTTAACAGTAGAAACAATGTAACAAACTCCACAAGTGATTTTGCTTTATTTTGCCCCTTTAACAGATGAAAATTCCTTACAAAAAGATGGCACACATTCCAGTGTACGCTGTGGGATTTCACAGCAGTGCGAAGAGTCACAAGAGTGAAGTCTATAAGTGAGTAAATATATGCTGTGTGTCTTAAATGACTAGTCACATTCCACACTGTCTGTGCTGGCCAGAACTTAACTTTGAAATTACACTGATTTCCTGTTGTTGTTGTGTTTTTTTATAATTACCTTACTAAATGTATCTGTGTTGTTGATAGTCAAATACCTAAATTTAAGTAGCTACTTCAATCACTAACCAATCACTATAGACTGTTACCAATAACATTTTAACAAAGTAAAAAAAAAAACAAGCTGCATCTGACATTATGGTTATTTACACAGGCGGTTTAATGTCGCTTAAAGCTGATATTTGCATTTAAAATGTACTTGCATAATGTAAATTGTAGTCAAATTGATCTTGTTTCTTGTTTTGATAAACTTTGCACTGTTATTAAACTGAACTGAATCAACTGACCTGAGCTGAATAATGACACTATCGTCTTTATAGAGATGCTTTACAGTTGAACTGAGTTTGTTTCATAACTGATGAACATTCAAACTGTTATTGATCTAAATTAAATCATCATTGAACTAAATAGAGCTGAATAGTGCCACTGTTGTCTGTAGAGCTGCACAGCTGAAATTGAATTAATTTCATAGTTGAGGAATTTTTGCAGCGCAGTTATTTTCCTGTTTATTAATGTGAAGCTGCATTTGAAACCATCTGTATTGTATAAGGTGCGATATAAATTTTTTATTGAACCATTCCCGGCGCCCGGACACACGACCTGGGGGGGCTTTAGGGGGGATCTTTGGTTTAACATCACGTAAATTCACCCATTTCTCCTGAAGTACATAAAAGCAAGTAATCGTTAAACTAGGAGAAGAATAGAGTGAACTTTATAGTTACCTAAACAACGTGTGCCTATATGAATAAAACATGGTGTCAGATTTTAATTGAAAGGATTATTATTGCGGATTTCCTTAGACACCAGTGTATTTAACAAACTCACAAACATCAGTGTGTATTTAACAAATGTCTTTTTTTGCTAGTAATTAATTTAAATGTCTGAAACCTAAAATAAATTTCATGTGGTTGAAAACACTGAATAGTGCCAGACAAAGCGTTTGAATTTAGCAGCGAATGTTCAAAATACATCGGTGATGGTCTGCATCGAATGGTTAAAATCAGCGTGTTTTGGGGGGTTGGAGGGGGTCAAATCAGATCCGAGGGGTGCCCCTCAGTTGAAATCGCGTTCAGTTTTGATTGCTTTCCCCCCTCCCCTTGACGCATAATCGTTACACAACAACAAAGAGCTCCCAGCACAGGACCTTGAGACAGGAAGCAAAGGCTTTCGTATTCTGGGGGTGGAGGGGTGGGTCCTTCAGATCATCGCAGTGAGGGCTTCAGAACACCCCCCTCCCCTTGACGCAGGGCCTGTATTGAACCCATAATTTGCTGTCATTATACAAAAGTTAAGCAGCTTTAGAAGATAATCACAATATCTTGTTTTTTAACATTGGAGAAAAAAAACTGTTGGAATAGCTCAAATCTCTCTGTTTGTCTGCAGGTCTTTGTGCTCTCTCTCCAGACACTCTGTGGAGGAAGAGTTTTCCCACCTGTACGCCGCAGGCTGCAACCTGAGAGATGTGTGCTCTGACTGCACAAAGTTTGTGGCTGATGTCATTTCTTCCAGTCGCAGGAGTTTGGACATCATCAACAACACACCAAAACGGAATAAAAGGACAACCTCGACATATCCACATGCCACATCACAACCACACGCTTTCAGTAGGAGCAGTAAATGAATGCATCAACTCCACCTCACACATCCTCGACACATACTCTACACAAAATCTATAGAAACTCTACAAGCATCCAGCTGGAATATTTGCCAGTGTTAGATGACAGAGATGTGAGTCACATGTGAATCATATCTGCCTTATCACCCTTTCCTGCACTATGTACATCTAATCACAACGTGTATAGGTTAAGGGATGCAATGCTTGAAGGCTAATGAAGAAAGACAATCCTTTTGCATCTTTTCTTGATTTTAGCTTGAATATAATGGTATATAACTGAGCCAGGACTGTCCATGCTTAGGAGACATCCTTATAAAGTACATCTGTAAATGCATATTTCTCGTATCTAATAGCAAATGCATTTTTATGCTTTGGGATTGGCTCTATTTCGCACCAGAGAGGGATGTAATTACCTTGGGACTGAGTCAGGCTGTTTTGTGATAGTAAAGGTCCGAATGAAGCTGATAATTGTATCTTATTCTCAGTAGACTGATGAAGTGGCCTTCTGATCCACATGTTTAACTCGCTCTTATTTTGTAAGGTCTGCAAGTCTGCAATAAAACCAATGCCACAAAACGACTGCTCTCTCCAGCATGTGATGTTTCCGTGGGTGTGTGGGTGCCATACTGTATTGTGTGATTATTATATATTATTATGTTATTAAAAATACTATATGGATGAAAAGATCAAAAACTGCCATGGCATCTTCAAACCATATTTTACCCCCAAACTAGAGGATTTTTTGGGGAATATTTTGCATAAAAAAATGAAAGGCTATTAAGATTTGTTAGCTTCCCTGCACACATACACAAGTCATACAAAAGCTTTTGCCTAATGGCAACTGTTATAAGTTACAAATGTGCTTTATTTAAAAGCTGAGGTGACCCATTTAGAGTATGAATAACACTTAAAAGCAAATGAGAATAGTCAGCATTGTTTACTGTGAGTCAATATTATTTAGAGCTGACACAAATGTGTTGTATTGATTTACCAAACATTTGACTTTAACACAATAAAGAGCTTAATTATAGATACAAATGGATAGTGATCATGATTGGCTTTTGGCTTTTATTATTTTAATTTTCTGCTACTTAAATATGTAATTAGATCCCTAATCTATAATAGAGAACATTAGATTATATAGATCAGTGAATTAAATATAAATATTTATGTACATCCAAATATTTATTTAATTAAAAAAGTTTTTTTAAACGGACCGTTCTGGCACTAAAAGTCGATTAAACGATCAGCCATTAAAGACACTGTGAACTTGTCAATATAATGTAGTTAGTCTGTGACAGACCTACTAATGTCTAATAAGTAATAAGTTGGTTTACAACTGTAATACATGTGTTTTAGGCTAATAATTAATTATATTGCTTGGGAGATTAATTGTTTATTTGGGTGCATCATTCATTCATTCAGTTGGACGCTAGTTATTTTATCTTATAGCTGTCTCTATCGTTTTATAAGAGATTAGATCTGTATCTAATTAATTATCAATGAGAGAGGCGGGGGGAAAAATCCCCTCCAAACAGCAAAAGTAAAGGGCACATAGTAAATAAAGCACTAAGTCTGTTACAGTGATTTTATCAGGGTTAAGCGGCATTGTGTTCGCCTTCGTTAACCTTGATTAAATCACGGCACAGCACGACCTCGAGCGGCTACCGTGGGCTTTTTTTCTGGAGAGGGAAGACATTTTAATTCCCCGCCCTCTCATGAATAATTAAGTACATACAAATATCATGGTTATCTCCGCGGGTCGATCTAAAGGATGTTTTTAATTTTACAGTATCTTCGTGCAGTGATCACAAATTCCAGCCGCTGCGGAAATATACCGATGTTTTAACTTATTTAACAGACATAAAATATTTTCCTCTTCCTTCCTCTGGGGAAATGCGCGTGTAAGTGGGTGTGTCGAGTGAGTTTAAACTTTATGATGAGTTAAAGTTTGATCATGGCCGTGTGGACCCGCGCGGAAAAACAGGGTCATCTGGACCTGCTGCTGAGTGATCGCTGGGTTCGGGTCTCCGCGGAACTCACACGGGACACTCTCACACTGACGGCGGAGGGCGAGCCGAGCGGGCCAGCGGGCTATTCGGAGCACAACTCGCATTTAAGAAATGGCGTTTCTAATGGCAACGAACAGAACCGAGATGTTTATCAGAACCGCGGGCAATACGACAGTCCGGGTCGGGTCAATGGGTCCGACTCGGAGTCCAGCGGTTATTGTGACCCGGAGGGGGTTCGGAGGGTCCGGATAGTCAAACAGGAGTCCGGCGGACTGGGGATCAGTATTAAAGGGGGACGGGAGAACCGTATGCCCATCCTCATATCAAAGATCTTCCCCGGTTTGGCGGCGGATCAGAGTCGAGCCCTTCGGGTCGGCGACGCGATCATGTCTGTCAACAGTAGCGACCTCCGCGATGCCACGCACGACGCGGCGGTGCAGGCGCTGAAGAAGGCTGGGAAGGAGGTGACGCTGGAGGGTAAGCCGATCACTCGAGCCGCGGGGATTCAACAGGCCCGCACAGAGCTCTGAACTTCACACTTAAAATAAACAGCGTGTATGTAATTGATAATGACACAACGTTAAAAACGTGCATGTTCAACACTATAAAGCGAGACTCAATAGGTTTTAGAATGTATTTAGTTATTGTATTATTGAGTTTAGACTGTTTTCATGTAGTAAACAAGTTCATTTGACATTTGCACTTTTTAAATATAACGTGGGTTGATATGGGGTGTGTTACATTAACATTTGAAAATCACTTGTACAAGTTATAAAACGAACTTAAGTTTGGATAGCAGTTTGATGCATGAATCTAGGTATTTTCTGATAATTAGAAGGTAATTTCTTTTGCTTCAATAGCAGACGTTCAGCAATGTCAGAAGTGAATGTGTGGGAATGGGATACAGGGAGATGGACGGAGGGAGAGACAGCTACTTTATTACTGTACTTTCTTGGGATACAGGGAGATGGACGGAGGGAGAGACAGCTACTTTATTACTGTACTTTCTTGGGATACAGGGAGATGGACGGAGGGAGAGACAGCTACTTTATTACTGTACTTTCTTGGCTAGCAAGCCAGTTTAGTTGGCAAGGCCCACTCTCTATGATCCAATTAATTCCCAGTTGACAAAATTAAATCCCGCCCTCCTTTCTTTCTTGCTTTCTTGTTTTCTTGATTGATTGATTGATGAAAACTTTTGTTTTTAGTACTGCCGAGTATTGACACATTAATTCCAATTCACAAGCTCTTAACTCGATTTCGATTACATATCAGTTAATTTAATCAGTGGCTGTCATCATATCTTGTATTCATGACAGATTTACTTAAATGCATTAAAAAATGAAGACATCACTAACGTGTTAAGTAAAAATAGAATTCATTTGTAATATTTCATTTATTTAGCAAATTGTTGTTCTCTACAGTTGTTTCCCCCCCCAGCTAACTATTGATTTAATCTATGGCCATTGAATAGCTTTTCTGAGGTAGCTGTAACATTTCATGATGCTTTACTGACTTTTTTCCAAGGTTGATGCACTGATTGAGCTATTACATGAGACATAATATATTTCAGTTATATGCCATCTGTTTATTTAATCTCTTTTCTGCTGTTAATTCGTGTTTATTTTGTGCTGTAACTAGTAATAAAGAGGAAGATGATCGGTTCATGTGCCGCTTGAACTGAGGCGGCTACAGAGATCTGTCACACCGCATTAAATATCTCTGTCCATTTTTATTGTTTGAAATTTGTGGTAAAATTACCAGAATTTGAAAGCAGAAAAGTAACAAAGTACAAAACTTATTGCGATTAATGGATGGGAGGCACTGGAGATTATGCCGCACATGTCTCATGTCTCGCGCGTACCACCACAGTGCAACACAGTGACACACATGTTGTTCTGCAGCACTGCTGAATCTCCTGCATTATGATCAGAGATCTGGAGGCTGACGTTCAGATATGTGGAGCAGTGTCTCATGAGATGGGCTCTGCTGACACATACATTATCCTCTGTGGCACCGGCCTAATTAAAATGAGAACTGAAGCAGTTTAATGGTCCTGGTGGATCTAATGAGATCTTTAAATGGCTCAGAAATGATCCCATGATATTGGCACAATATCAGTACAGCAATTTCTAGAATATTTCACTGGAGAACTGCACAGAGATATGCATTTATAAACCAATCCGTTCACTCTCTGGTGAAAGATTATTATAATCAGATGCTTGTCAGATGAGTGAAGCTTCTCAAGATGTTGTCAAATTATAGGTGAAGCAGCAGTGAGCGATTAAATCAGCCATGATTGGTGAAGCTGATAAGAACAGGATGCTGGTAAAGACCACAATTCTTCTGAGAGTGAAATTAAGAGCTATTCATTCAGCCATAATTAGCAGCTTGCATAGACATAACATTTATAACATGTTCAGTCTCAGTGGAGTAACCTGGTGTAAGGTGCCATGCTTTGCTTCTTGGGGTGAAATATTGGTAGTTTGTGAATCACCCTTTTAGGGTTTAAATAACCTTTGGGTTATTGGCCTGGATCTCAACCTTTAATGCACTGGGTATGACACTAATTGTGCTGAGAGTGATTTTATGATGGCTGAGGTCAGCCACACAAGTACTGTTGATTGCAACTAGACCTTACTGCTGCTTGATTTTATTTCATTGAAAGGCTTTTAATATGACCGTAGCGTTCAATAGTTCTTTATTTACTTACTTGCATATGTGAAGTAGCTTTCTTGCTGCTTAAAAATTATAAATTTTCATGAGAATATAACACTATTATTACACTAACACTACATTAACACTACTATTACTGAAAATATGTGATTTCTATTGCTGCAAATCACTGTCAGTGTGAATGCCTTAAAGGTAAAGACCACCCCAAAATGAAAATCCTTTCATCATTCATCATTTAACACACACACACACACACACACACACTGATCCTCATCAGTTAATGCAGGTTTTTTATTTTTTTTTAATGTTTCTGCTATTGAATTCTCAGTTAAGGCTGTATGTGTTGTGTGCAGTAAAGTACATCAGGGAGGTGTCTCCGCTCTTTAAGAAGTCCTCTATGAGTTCAGATCTGCCTTGGGATGGGCGTCTTCAGTCTCCAAACCTCAGCAGCGGCGACGAGTCGCCCAAGAGCAGTATAACCCGTGACAGAAAGGTCATCCCGCTCAAAATGAGCTTCATCAGCCGAAACCTCACCATGCCTGACCTGGAAAACAGGTGCGTGTGTGTGTGTGTGTATGTGTGAGATTTCTGAAGTAACCAAAGCTGCATTTTGTTGTTGAAGTTGACCGTGTTATTCTGCCGCGAAGACAGCAACTACATTTAGATTTGAATCTCATGAAAACATGTCCAGGTCCCCAAAATCAGCACTTGCTGTTAATTATTAATTCAACCAAATATTAACCAACATCTGAGATCTGAGACAAATTAACCCTGTAAGCCCTGAAGGCATTTTTGCCTCCCTGAAGGTGTTGACATACACACACATATTTTTTAAATACATTTTGTGGGGATAGCATAAAGTATCCAAAAGTTACAGCACTTTGGAACAAAAGAAGTCTTTTTGTTTAGCCCTTGACGGTTTTGAAATAGTTGTTTTCTAGTAGTAATGCCTCGCTCAAGATTAGTCAAAGCCCCAAACAATTATGCTTGTTTTATTCTACTCTGTGAGACCTTTCAAATGACATATGACACATGACTATCTGAGATGTTTTTGACATATTAGTGTACATGGCACAAAAACATATTTCATAAATTATGGGTTTTTTTTCTATTTATTAGCGAATAACTCCGCACTACTTAGGAGTTAATCAAAGTGGCCACATGCATTGTAAAGATCAGACTCTTTCAGAAGCTTTCAAATGACACCTATTGTGTTGATCAAGGCAGTGGCTTTGAAAAATATGGTTATTTTTTTTCTTCGTGGCACCCGTCGACGGTACACTCCGGTTTAGAGGGACTACTCAGCACTCGTTAAGAGTTGATGAAAATGGTTGGATACACTTGAAAGCTTTACATTCTAAGCTTTACAATGGTATCCAGTATATATATATATATATATATATATATACCTAGTTACATAAAAAAGTTATAAAAAGGTAGAATAGATGGAAACATGCTGGCTTTACCTTTTTACTTGCCAAGTGTTCAGTAAAGCTTTCCAACTTATTTATTCAATTCATAGGTTTAGATATTATTTACACACTGATTTTGGACTCATTTCAATCGTGAAAATCTGCTGTAAATAATGATGTGATATTTTCCACGATCAGAGCATGTTTCATGAAATGACAAGCATAAAAACCATGTGAAAGTTATAATGTGTGCCTTGATGTGGAATATCTTTAGGTCTAAATGACAGATTTTGGTGAGTTTGGGCTCTTTTTAATCAAGAGAATTTCCTAAAAATAATGTTCCACAACCTATGCGTGCTTCATGAAGTTATGAATGAAAACGCCACGTAAAAAAATAACTTTTATTTGTACACCTCGGGTTTAAAGGGATAAGTTGACAAACAATACAGCATTATGTTGATGATCATGATATTACAATAATGACAGTATCTGCTGATTACAGTCTAAAATGTTTTACTTATTTGAAAATGTAACTAACACTTCACTCATTACTTTAAAGAAATACTGATTATGTAGCGTGTTACTGGGAAGATGAATATTTTCAGTGATGCCTTTTGTTTGTTTCAGGTTGCTAGAGCTTCACTCTCCGGACGGCCAGCACACTGTAGTGCTGCGGTGTAAAGACGGGGCCTCTGCTCACTCCTGGTTCACGGCCATTCACACAAATGTTGCTGCCCTATTGCCACAGATGATGGACCACATCAACTCTTTCTTGTGCAATCCCAGCGCTAACACACACTGCACACTCAAACACATCGGCTGGCTGGCAGAGCAGGTATCTCACACACATGCACTCTGAGATCAAACACGCAGTTCTCAAAACATTTGAAGTAAAAGGGTCATTTTACAAAACGGGTGTCTTTTGTGACCCTCATTAACATATGCACAATAGCTGATGCAAACTGTGTTAAACTGTTAAATCAAAACTATATTTTAGGCTTATTAAAAGTAAATCATACCAGCATTCCAATCTCTTTATATATTCTTATGTAGTTTTATTAAAATAATCCATCAATTAAAAAAGTATACAAACCATATACTGTATATAAATAAATACATTGGTGCTGTGGAATAAAATCGAAATTAGCACAATGCAATATTGTCACTTAACTCAAGGTTTGAACATATTGATTTCCCAATTTTAATTAATCTTCATTTTAACGAACTCATATGAACTCTTAGAGTCCAAGAGCAGTCTTTTAGTCTATGCTTGTCTTCTGTTGGTGGGTGACTAGTTGTAACACAACCCCCCAATCATAATCCCAATAAGCTTTGCATTTTATGTAAACAAAGTCTCAGCTTTCAGATTTTGTCAGTTTTATAATAAAATATGTATTTGAATATTTTTACCTGTTAGTGATGTCTGAATTACTATATAATTATAAACTCTCATGAAAATAAGTTTTTATGACAGCCGCCGTTTAAATGTTTAGATTGCAATAACAAATTGGAGTAAAAAGTTAATTATATCATTATAAATTTTATATAAAAACTTTTCTTTTTTTTTTGTTACGCCTTATGCGCAATGTAAATGTTTTTATACAACTCCGTTTTTATTTGAGTGTTGGTTATTATATCTAAAAATGCTATTGAATTGAATAGTTTGGGCCCTGTTGTTAACGTTAATCTTTTAAACGATCAATTCAGTTTTATTTGTATAGCACTTTTCACAGTACACATTTTTTCAAAGCAGCTTTACAGAAAATCATGATGTTACTGTATATAACATTTTAATATCTTCATACCTTATAGTTGCATTTAGCAGATTAAATATACTGATTATGTTGAGCTATTCGATAATATAGATATGTTATTTAGTCATGACACATTTTTCCATCGCCATATGGAAATGGTATGGATTATGAATTGAAAGGCTGGTTGTTGTGTCTGTGTGCAGCTGGAGCTGGATGGTGGGCGGCATCAGTACAGACGAGTGCTCATGGCGCTCACAGAGAAAGACCTCCTGCTGTTCCAGTCAGTGCCGTGGACATACGAGAGCTGGTCCTCACCTCTCCTGACCCATCCACTGCTCGCTACACGGTCAAACTCTTACTTCAGTAAAGCTTTGTGCAGGCGTAATTTACTGCAAAAACAGCCCATTTGAAAAAATGAAATATAAGTTTGTGTTCCGAATAAACTCACACAGCTCTGTCTTTCGTGTTTCATGTATTTGTCTCTGTCTGCAGGCTGGTTCACTCGGGCAGCGTGCGCAGCTCTCCGGCTCTGGGTGCAGATCTGGTGTTCGCCACACGTACAGGCACAGGTCGAGGCATCGAGTCTCATGTGTTTCGTGTGGAGACACACTGGGATCTGTCCACATGGACACGTGCACTGGTGCAGGGCGGACATCTGGCTGCTGAGCTCATCAAAGAGGTGTCCATAGGTGTGTGTGTGTGAATATACAAAGAAGAAAATCTTCTCTTCGCTAAGACCCGTCTTAAAAACATTACTTATCAATCCTACCTTAGTAACCGTGGTCATGCCTGTATTATTATTATTAGACAGCTTGTATTGCTTCTACAGCTTGTAGAAGTCCTGTGTGTTTGAGTAGTCTGTGCATGAAATGAAAATTCACCCTGTCTATTTTCTAAATGCGTGTTATAGATCTTACTGTGAACAATAATAATAAAAAAAGACAAATTTTTAATCAGTGTATAATAGTGACACAAGCTACTCAAAGATGCAATCGTTTAATCTCTTTTCTAAATTTAAATAAGTTTAAAGGAATTCTAGATTTGGTATAGGTTATACATTCTCAGTTTTAGGTTTTTACATTTCTGTGGCAACAAAGTTGTACAATTTTCTACAGCTTTCCACGGAAAAGTTTAATAGGCATTCTTTTTTTTTCCCCAAACAAAATCGTTAACAAGCACATTGTTTATGCCTTGTGGCTACTATTGAAACAGCTGGACTTTTGCATTTTTGTTTTTGTCTTAAAGAAGGAGGCACAAGTGATAGTTAATTTTTGTGGTAATCAACATTGTATAAAACCAGTAGTGCACCTACATGGGTAAATCATTGTAATGTTCAAAAATGTTTCTTAATGGTTTACTGATGCTAACTAAATACTTCAAAGTACCATGTCTTTGCAATGAAATGATTCAGTTTGTAATCTCGCTACTGTGTAATTTACCAGTTTCTTTAAAGATAAACACCAGCTAGAATGCTTTGCAGTGTCACACCTTATGCCAGGTCTTGTAAGAGTAATATCCATTTACCAAGAATCGTGTTATTCACTGAAACGTCCAAATTCATTCCTGTTGGATGTTCTGTAAGACTTGTCTGAGTAACCGAGGGTCTTATTTAGTAAAGGGACAACTGAGTGGAAAAATGCTGGATTGAAAAACATTTTTTTCCCTCGCTCTGTGGTGTGTAACAATAGCTGGCTGGGGGAAATGCTGGAATTATTGCGTGCTTTCCTTCCTGAGTTCCAGCCAGCAAAGAAAACACAAAATCACATTAATTCACCTTCTTGTGGTTCGTATCCTTATATCCATTTGTCCGTCTGCGCTCCTCAGGCTGTGTGTTGAACAGACAGGAAGTGCGTCTGATCCTGCATTATGACAGAGGGTTCACTGTGAAGCGGGAATCTGGCGAATCCGTGCTCTTTCACTTCCCCTATGAGCGGCTCAAGATGTCCGCAGACGATGGAGTTAGGAATCTCTACCTGGACTTCGGTGCTCCAGAGGGCGAGATGGTAGGACCAATCAGACACACAGTACAGTATGATATTTACCTGTGTTGAAATGGACATGAAATTGTGGTCTTAATGAATGGAATTCTTTTTGGTCCTCCTGACATTACAAAACAATAGACCAACAGACTTGCACTCATTAAGGCCTCATTCATTTGTTCATTCATTCATTCATCTGTTTATTTTGTGTGGGTTGTCTCTAAAAAATGATGTAATTCCGAGCGAGTAGAAATGTAGTGTAATCATTAGTCAAAAGGTGGAGGATCCCTGTATAGTTTTCATAATAATCTGTGTTTCTATCTTTCTGTCTCCGCAGGTGTTTGAGCTTCACTCGGGGCCGAAGCCTGTGGTCTTTGTGCTTCATTCGTTTCTCTCAGCCAAACTGGCTCGTTTGGGACTGCTCACATAGGATCAACAGGAAATGATGGAGGTTCATTTATTTCATTGATTTATTGACAGCTAGTATTTTACTCAAGCAGTGTTTTCATAGATCTCTTCTAGCTAACACATTTGTTCAGTGGTTGTGTGTGCGTGTGGCTTTCTAAGGCGGAAAACAATCCCACTTTCCTCTGATCAGGAACACCTATCGTGCCTTCTCATCTAGAGCCAACAAGCTTTTACAGAAAATGTTCAGGCTTTGCAGAATAACCAAAATGAACATATTATTCTTGTATGTTTGTTTTTCATGTATCTCACCTGTATTTATGTTTGTATGTATTGCATGGCAAAGACTGTTACATCTGTGTGCTATAATCTTAATGAATATTTGGCAGACTGCCATTCCTGCAAATATGGAGAAAATGAAGCTTTAAATACATTCCCTTCATGACTGACCAAAAATAACCTCCTTAAAGTTAACTCTATAAGTTGTTGAATAGGATCGATTCATTCAAATAATATTTAGGATTTTTTTTTTTTTTTTATAAATATAGGAATGTTTTATTCGTTTATCTGTTCTCTGCATGTCATAAGAAATGTTTTTCCACATTTATGACCAAACCTGCTCCAGGCCTTGATTTTTTTTAATTTTGCTGTACGACATTAATGCTCCTTGATCAGCATTTGATGAGTATTTAGTTCTTATTACAGGCTTCCCACTGTCATAAAAAAAACTGGGAAATATCAGGGAATTTTAAAATTCTGATGTCCAGGCTTGGAAATGTGAAGGAAATGAATGAAAACGCATTATTATTAAATGCATCATGAGGAAAAAGCCCTATTTCTATAGTCGGTATACATTTTCTAGTTATCTGAAGAGCTTTGCTTTTTGTGAGTACAATCTTTATAAAAGGGCTTTAAATAATACTAATCCAGTTATCAGGCAAGACTGGAAACGTCATGGAAATTTATCGTTCAAAACGTGTGGGGACCATCATGTTATTAGCACTGATATGCGTTATTTCGTGGCGTGTATGTTTTATGTCTATCAGTATAGCATCAGTATATATTCTTTATTAACATTTAATAGTTTTATGTAAGGCATGTAATGCAAACTGAGTTTGAGCACAGGATCTATATGAACCCATCGCTTCACTCACAGACACCGTAGTTTAAGAGTTTGCAGATTGGGGCAGTACTGACATGCCCTCATAAGTATAATGCATTCGGAAACATGCACAGTGGAGGCAGTAGGTTCTTGTAGGAAAAGACTATGAACAATGTGACAATATATGGAGGTAATGACGTTTTGAAAGTGAGATTGTATGAACAGCATTTACTCATAACCATCGCTCAAGCAAGCTTAACAGAAGCAATATCTCTATATTTTAATATTTCTTATTTTAGCATAAGGGTCATTGCACAAATGAGATGGTTAGGTCCATTTAAAAAAAGCAAAAAAACATGTATATGCACAAGGACCACACATGCAACCTATTTGATGCGTTAAGTGCCCTTAAACTTTTATAGTCTCTTGTGCATACTAATATCATAAATGTTTCTAAATCGGGGAAACAAAGAGTTTTCACTCATGTGGGAACCTTCCTTGTTTCTTCTGAAATGTCCATTAAAAGAAATGTGTGATGCTTTTGGCGGATTATTCTTTCACTCTCTGAGGTTGTTGATCAGTCATAGTTTTGGACATTATGTGCTGTCACATAATTATCTTTTATGTTATGACATTAGACCGCTTACCCATTGCATCGTGCATTGTCTTATCTATGAAACCGTGTTAGACACACTTACCAGGTTTACAAATGTGTGAGATGTTTGAAGCTGTCATCAGCCTGATATTTGACAGGACCAATGCTTCGGACTATGAATGTACTTTATAAACCCATAGATACATGCCTCAGTTTCATTATTTGTTCCGCATGTTTAGTTAATAGCTTGATTTGTCTTTATTTTGTTGAGAAAAGGTTTGAACCAAAGTTCAATTGTGGCAGCTTGCAGCACTCAATCAGTACTTGTTTGTATATGTATTATAACTTCCAAAGCCTGTAACCTGAAGCTATGCATTATGTCTTTATGTAAATGTCATATATAAATAAAAACATGTAAATTAAATGATATTTAGAATTGTTTTGATATGGAACTAATGCGTTCAGCGTTGGTTTCCGGAGGACAGTACAGGAGTGAACACTGGAGGGTAGCATCTTCCGTTTCTATGTTCACTTATCTATCACATTATATGGACCTTCATTGATATAATTGTTTTGTTGCGCTCGTTGTTTAACGAACAATTTAAATACACTATAAATACCAATAATAGGACACCGCAGTGAAACCGCTGGCGCGTGAGATGAAATGACAACGTCAACACTGCAGGTGAGGTTACATTAGCTTTAGCTGTAGTTCATCATCCTCATCCTCATCTAATCCTATCATAAACTGAACATTGACTGAACAGATGAACTGTAATCACTGACCGTTTATAATTCACACACATCAGCAGCGATCAACGTTGTAAACATACCATAAATCACCGGAGAATATGTTATGATGACATAAGCAACCATGTAAACAAACCTCACTTCAGTTCATATTCATTTGTAAGATTTATTGAATGTAGGACTAAGCTATGATTTTGTAAGAGATGTCTCGAAATATATGTTTACGTTCGTCGTGCTTTCATGAAGTCATTTTTGAACGGCTGCTGTAGATTTGTTTATTAGCTATAAACCTAGGATTAATCTGTCAGTCTGTGGGTCTACGATTTAATGACAGTAAATCAAATGTACACACAATTGCTGAAATTAAATAAGTAGTTACACGAGAAGAATAAACAGTCAAATATATAGCAAAAGCTGGTGGCAGGAGTCTGGCAGTTATTGCCCACATTTATAATACTAAACTGAAATATAAACGTAATAGAGTTTAAGTTAGATGTACGCTGAATTTAGATGAACTCATACTTTACTCGGTATTAACAAATATATTTGTGAAAATCGAAATCGAGCACTATTTGCTCGGCTGTATATTTTGCAACTGACACTTGGTGAATTTTGGAGTGGCTGCTATAATAATCTATTTATACTTATGAATTATTCTATATCAAATCAACCAACTTTCTGAAGCCTCACCGGGGTGTAGTTTTGATTTGATTATTATTTTAATGAATTTATTTTGGACGAAAGATGTACATAAATTGTAATGCATTGAGCAGTATTTACTAAGTAGTGCATTACTTTCTACGGGGGTTAAAAATAAATTTTTTACCTATTATATGGAGCACCGCTACAAAAAAAAGCACCCATTATATACCAATTAATTTAATCTAAAAATTAGGCTAACACAAAAAGTTGGATGGATATTACTACTAAATGTTTTGAAACTAAATGAATATCCTTTATTTTTCAGGTTCAGAATGCACTGTTATTAGGATACATGCATTCTGTTAGGGTGCATATATTCTCAAGGCAATACTTAAATAAGTATTTCATTTATTGCCTCCAGGGTGCATGTGCATGGCATATGGGCCTGTTTAATTGTTGTTGTAACTTTTAAATTGTATGATTTTATTGTCCAAAACTCAATTCGTTTAGTGTCCAAAGAGGAATGTCTGATAAACAGATGATTTTTAAACTATTTTTTTATTCTTAAAATGAATACATGGGCTTTAACATCTTTTTCTCAAACTCTAAAAATTCAAGATTCGTACATTTTTTATGTAAGTTTCTAATTTCAGCAAAACTTGTACTGTAGACTGCTGTGTTTTTTGGAAAAGGTCAGCACAGATACCATCTGGTTTTCAGCCAATGAATATTTAATGACTTACACATGCAGCCCCACATCTTTACATCTCACAACTGTTCGGGGCGTTCAGTATGAATATACCGAAAGTGTAGTTTGCCCTGGGGGTGCAGACACAACAATTTTCGGTTACACTTTACTTGAAGGGGTGTGCATAAGACTGACATGACACCTACATAATTATGACATGACACATGTCATGAATATGAAGGGTTTTTTATGCATGTTTATGACAACTGTCATTAAGTGTCATTCGCTCAGTTATGTAATTTTTAATGCAAAGATGACATTGTTTGAGATGTCTTTGTTATGGGCTATGCTTAGGGGTAAGGGTAGGGGTAGGGTTAGGTCACATAATGTCATATTTGCATAAAAAATGACATAACTGAGCGAATGACACTTAATGACAGTTGTCATAAACATGCATAAAACCTCCTTCATATTCATGACATGTGTCATGTCATGATTATGAAGGTGTCATGTCAGTCTTATGCACACCCCTTCAAGTAAAGTGTTACCCAATTTTCTTTTAATATACTTATAATATTTGTTTACAGAATGAAGCTGCAGTCTTCCGAGAGGTCTTTTTAGAGCTTGACTTTTGCTTTAAATATTAACTGGAAAATGTCATTTTCAACACTCTTAAAAAAAATAAGTGAATATTTGACATTATTTGTTCTTTCACCTGAAATCAAAAACAGCATTTCAATCCACGGACCTCTGGTTGAGTTGATGTGGAATGAGCCCTTATAAATCATAGATTAGTCTGTCAGTTCGTAGAGCCGTCAGTAGCTCTGTCATTTGTCATGTTCAGAAAGCGATTGAGCTGGTCACTAAAGCCACAGAGGAGGACAAGGCCAAGAACTATGAGGAGGCGCTGAGACTCTACCAGCATGCTGTGGAGTATTTCCTGCACGCCATCAAGTGTGAGTGAACTACATCTTCTGAATGTTATTCCAAATGAACTCAAAATTAACCCTATTTACTTTCTGAAAATCTTATTGTACACAGTTAATTGGGAAAAAAGTGAATCTTTGTTTTTCATCAAAATGTTGAGGCTCCGCCTCTGAAACAACTCTCTTGTTTGGCTGATGTCACCAAGGCCTGGCAGGCTATTGGTTGATGTTAAAGAGCTAATAACGAGAGATTCGAAAAAGAAGTGTTAGCATTGGGTTCTGGCCTTATATTGAGAGTCCTGCAAATCGCAAACTCACCTCCAATAGGTTGTAAAATCATAAACTACTTCCCTTTCAGTCATTTATGCAGGGGGGTAGTACAAATGTAAAATGTACATTTCTGTAACATCTCTCATGAAATATTTAAAGACGCACCATTGATCCTTTTGTTTCTCAGATGAAGCACACAGTGACAAGGCAAAGGAAAGCATCCGAGGGAAGTGTATGCAGTATCTGGACAGAGCTGAGAAACTCAAGGACTACTTGAAAAACAAGGACAAACAGGGCAAGAAACCAGTGAAGGAAACACAGAGCAATGACAAGTACGCTTTCATTTGTTATTTGTTCTGCTGGATGTTGTTGAAGAATCATGTCCATTGCTCACAGTGATAAACTGTGTGTGTGTGTGTGTGCGCGTGCACAGAAGTGACAGTGACAGTGAGGGAGAAAATCCTGAAAAAAAGAAACTCCAGGATCATCTAATGGGTGAGTCTTTGTGTCTTAAAAGTATCATTATATAACAGATAGTTCCGGCCCTTGATTCTGATTGGCTGAGCCGCGTTCGAAGCTGTTGTAAATTACTCTACAAACACACACCTTTGTTTACTTCTGTGTGTTGCTCGGCAACCACTTTGTTGGAACCACAACTGATTCGGAGGAATTAATATCATTACACTTTATTGTACACTTTATTGGCTCTGTTTTATTTTGTGAAACCTTACTATGTATATGGAATAACCGTTTTTATAAAAGCAATTAGCCCCGTGAATCTGCTTCGCGTCGTGCCTAACAACGCCCCTTGGCTGTTATAAATTCACTGTAAACCACGGCTTCTTGGGGCTTATTGCTTTGTGTTAATGCAAAGGAAAACACGCTTGCAGTCTTGTTTAGGATCATGATGATGAGATGTTTGTTGATGTCTCAGGTGCGATTGTGATGGAGAAGCCCAATGTGAGGTGGAGTGATGTTGCCGGACTGGAGGGGGCAAAAGAAGCCCTGAAAGAAGCTGTCATTCTACCCATCAAATTCCCACACCTGTTCACAGGTCAGTCTGTGTTTACACTCATTCACATCACACACTTATTATTGCGTATTTACATTATTGCGTTATTATAATAAGATATTCAACTTTAGACACATCCCTAGTTAGCACAAATATGTACACTACTGTTCAAAAGTTTGGGGTCAGTAAGGTTTTTTTTTTGCTTGATAGAAATGAATCCAAAGTGACAGTAACGACTTTATGGACAAAAGATAAAGTAACTAACTAACTAACTAAATAAATAATGTTGTTGTTGTTTTTTAATTCGATTCATCAACAAATTCTGAAAAAAATGGATATCATTGTTTCCACAAAAATATTAAGCAACTCAGCTGTTTTCAATTAATAATAATAAGAAATGTTTCTTGAGCAACAAATCAGCATATTAGAATGATTTCTGAAGGATCATGTGACACTGAAGACAGGCGTAATGATGCTGAAAATTCAGCTTTGAAATCACAAATAAATTACATTTAAAGAAATTGCGTATTAAATTACAAGAAATGGCTCTTGACTGTGTTTTTGATTAAATTAATGTAGCATTGGTTTGTATAAGACATTTCTTTCCTTTCAGAAACATAAATAAAAAAATCTTATCACCCCCAAACTTTTGAATGGAAGTGTATGTTTCTTATATCAAATGACGGCAGAAGGGTTTGTTGTAATCTGTGAGTTATAATGGAATATGTAAAAATTAGGGCTGTGTATCACCAGTAAAGTCACGATACGATACGTATCACGATACAAGACTGCATTGAATTTCACCTCAGCAGAATTTAGTAAAACAGCTGTTTATGAAACACTGCATACTATTGTCAGACTTTGTTCCCATGGAGGGCCTCGGAGCCCGTAATTGTCCCCAAGTATTTTTGGGGGGGGGGTAGTAGAGCTCCAGCCGTAGAGGCCGGGGCAGGGGCTGGGGCCGCGGCCTCGGCCTCGGAGGCTGCTCCGCCATGGCCTTCTGAACTGCCTGCTCCGCCATGGCTCCACGAGTCCCCTGATCCGCTATGGCCTCCTGAATTGTCTCCTCCGCCGTGGCCTCCTAGTCTGCCTGCTCCGCTGTGGCGCCCCGAACAGCCAGATCCGCCATGGGTCCCGGAACGGGTGCCGCCCTGGTGGCCTTCCGTCCTGGAACCCTGCTCCTAGAGGCCTCCAGAGCCCCCGCCCCCCCCCCCTTCGTTGGATGTTGTACGGCGCGGGACGCGCCTTCCGGGAGGGGGGAGTTACGTCAGACTTTTTTCCTTGTTTTGTGTGTGTTTTGCTCCCCATGTGCCTTCCTTTCCCTTATTTGGTTTTCTTCCTGTTCCTGCTCCCTGATTGTTTCTCATTTGATTCCAGGTGTGTCTCGTCTCCCCCTGATTAAGTTGTGTATTTAAAGTGTTTTCTGTTTTGAGTTCCTTGTCCGGTATTGTTCGTCTAAGTGCTACGTGTGTTTTCCGTGTTCCCTTGCATTCATTAAAATCTCTCGATTGATGTACTCCTCGTCTCCTTCGTTCCTCGCTCCGCACTCCTCACAGTAGTGCAACCGTGACAACTATAGGGCCATTTATAACTATTGGCAGAGCAGGCAGCTGACCTCTGCATTATGAAGGGCCTCCATAACTGTACCACAGTACAATATAGGTAATGGCATATGTTTCATGTTTACATTGAGCACTCCCCACCAGGTACAATATTCTGATTGTTTGCATCTTGTTTTTAAGCCCATAAATAATAATGTACTCGTTCTGATACATTTATATTGTAATATACTCATTCTAATATATAAAAAATCATCTTTACATTGCTGGTAGGTTATCATTGCACAAAGCAACACTCTACATTTAAAAAATAAAAATTAGAAGAGTTCTAAACTAATGCGCTGTCTTCACTGTATCTCACGCACACACACGCTCAGTCACTCACACAGATCACTCTGCGTGTGCACTCAGACATTCAGGAACAAACTTTTTAGTGCTGCCCCACAATTTTATCAACTAAATAGCTTAATCGCTCAATAGCTACATTATCTTTCTCTACAAGGAGCTGGTAACATCATTGTATCTAAAGGAATTAAAGCCACAGCTTCACTGTTAATAGAGAAACGTGGCAAAACTGTAGTAATTCATACATACACAGCCTCTCTCTCTCTCTCTCTGAAAAATGAAAACTTGATGAATTACACTTTTCTGAGAATAGAATATTGAAGTGGAGATCGCAAGCTTACCGGTGTTTTCAGAAAGCAAGCGCGTTTATCCACAGAGGAGAGAGTGCGCTTTTCTCTTCCATTTTAAACTGTGTTCTTGTATTCAAATTAAGCGCGTGCCACAATATCGATACAGGGCCAGCTGTATCGATACTCGTATCGTCAAATCTCTCGTCGTATCGAACACCGCACTAGTAAAAATATTGCCCTTGATGTCCCCATTTTTAAGCTCCCTTATTTTAATGAATCAAGATCCTATATTTAAATTTCCAAAGACTACAGTCTGTGAATGCACTGTGATGCAGGCAAGCGCACTCCATGGAGGGGCATTCTTCTCTTCGGGCCACCCGGCACAGGAAAGTCCTATCTGGCCAAAGCTGTGGCCACCGAGGCCAATAACTCCACCTTCTTCTCCGTGTCTTCCTCGGACCTCATGTCTAAGTGGCTCGGCGAGAGTGAAAAGTAAGTTTCAGTCTTTGCTCTCTTTGCTGACTGTCTGCATGAGGTGCAGGCCTCACTGAATGATTTATTTTGATTCATGTTACAGACTGGTGAAGAATCTGTTCGATCTGGCTCGCCAGCACAAGCCCTCCATCATCTTCATAGATGAGGTGGATTCTCTCTGTGGATCCAGAAATGAGAATGAGAGCGAAGCCGCTCGGAGGATCAAGACGGAGTTCCTGGTGCAGATGCAGGGTGAGAAACACTCTCTGGCAGTTTGTGAGCTGTGAAAAACCGAATTCTGCTGAATAAATTACGCTTCATTTAGTTCAGGAGACGCGGTCAAGCAGCTCTGTTGACATGTTGCTTAGCTGTTGTCTTTTCATACATGAGCCTTAACGTGACTTATTTATGTCTGGATCTTTTTTTTTAATAATATTTATTTAAAATGTATAATGTTTATATTAATTTGTAATATTCATTTTTTTTTAAATAACATTAAAATTCAGTTTGAAGGTAAAAATGGCAAGATTAGGGTTGTCTAATGGCAAAACCCCAAGAAAACTTGATATTAAAGGGGTCATATAATACAATTTTTCCTTTCTCTTTGGAGTATTACAAGCTCTTGGTGGATCAAGAAGATCGGTAAAGTTGCAAAGACTAAAGTCTCAAGTCCAAAGAGCAGTTGGAAGATTTCGCCAGTGCTGTCCTGCGAACGCGAGGTCTGACTTTCCCGGAGAAGTGTCGCCTCTCTCGGTCCATAAATGAGTACAAAACAGCGTTTCCTTGCACCTGTCGCTTACTGATTGTTTGGAATTATAAATATGACCGTAGTTCGTCTGTTAATATCACATGCACGTTGTGATTACTACAAAAAAGTAATATAGCCAAAACAACCGCATAGCTATTTCTCCGATCACAAATGCAGACATGGTTTTATGTTTACGCAGTACGATGCAACGCAGCGCGTAAAAAGACAGTAGAAGGCATTATAATCAGTAATTATGTCCCCACTGGATGCAACAAATGCTTCGTTTATAATGGGTTTTAATGTTTATGTCTCATTGCTCCGGCCATCACAGTATGGTAAGGGGCGTAACATTTCCGTCACACGCTTGAGGTATTCGGCCAATCACAACGCACTGGATAGCTGGCCAGTCAGAGCACACCTCTAATTTGTTATTTGAACCTTAAACCACATAAACACATTTCATTACACCAAATACACAAAATAATTTAGCAACATCATATGACCCCTTTAATATTCATCTACACAGTATTGATGAGATTTGTCAAAAATACTGGTAACACTGTACAGTAAGGCTTTATTTGTTATACATTAGTTAACATGAACTAACAATGAAAAATACTATCTTTGAAAAATATGTTTGAAAATGTAATAATTTTATACACGTGTAAGGGAAATATTACTTTTTGCTTGAAGTGAAGTGACGTGGGGCCAAGCATGGTGACCCATACTCAGAATTTGTGCTCTGCATTTAACCCATCCAAGTGCGCGCACACACACACACACAGTAGTGAACACACACACACACACACACAGTAGTGAACACACACCCGGAGCAGTGGGCAGCCACATACAGAATGATGCAGGATTTCCTCTCATTTTCTCACAAACTCCTCTATGTCTTGGGATTGTCTAATGGTTTGCGGGCGTTTGTCTTTGCCAGGTGTTGGTAATAACAGTGATGGGATATTAGTTCTCGGTGCTACTAACATTCCCTGGGTCCTTGATGCTGCTATTCGCAGAAGGTTAGTGTGGGGGAAAAAAAAAGTAGAAAAGTGATAATTTTATTAACTTAAGTCTTTAATCTGCGAATTGTTGAAAACTCCCGGTGATCGGTGCAGGTTTGAGAAGCGCATCTACATCCCGCTCCCCGAGGAGCCGGCGAGAGCGGCCATGTTCCGCTTACATCTGGGTAACACACCTCACAATCTGACCGAGGCAGACCTGCGTCAACTGGCCCGCAAAACAGACGGATACTCTGGAGCTGATATCAGCATCATAGTACGAGACGCTCTCATGCAGCCTGTCAGGAAAGTGCAGTCCGCTACGCACTTCAAAAAGGTAATGACAGCTATCTGTGGTTTCAATACGTTGTTTTGCAAATCTGGACAGCAGCAGTGAACTGTCTGATTGGATTGACTCATTTAACTTTACGTTTTTCTAGAACACTGATTGTTTTTGTATGTTGCTTTCTCTGCTCATCAGGTGCGAGGCCCGTCTCGCAGTAACAGCTCCGTCATGGTGGATGACCTCCTGATGCCGTGTTCCCCCGGTGACCCTGATGCCATAGAGATGACCTGGATGGATGTACCTGGTGACAAACTGCTGGAGCCCATAGTGTGCATGGTGAGATCCTGAGATCAGTTACTTCCTTTCACATTTAGCATGTGTTCACTATCAGTTTGACTATCACAATAAAGTCTGGTCAACTCGATGGACTGCATAATCTGCTAGTCAGTAAGTACTAGTTATTTCACATATAAAACAATCAAAATAGGTACGTTTTTTTTGTTAGGTTTCTCGGCCTATTGATAAAAACAGCCTGACAATAGGCATCAGAGAGTCAGTGAATGGACTGCTTGTTTACTGCATGATCCCAAGATGACATCATCTATATATACACTATAATAAAATAACTGCTTTCTATTTTTGATATATTTTAAAATGTAGTTTATTTCTTTGATGGCAAAGCTGAATTTTCAGCATCATATATATATATATATATACAGTATACACACACACACACACACATTACTGTGCAAAAGTCTTAGGCCATTAGAATTTTCACCAACAACAAAAAAAATATTTTGCTGTAGTGTCAGTAGGAAATATTTACGGTACATTTAATATTTACATTTCCAAACATTCCTTTTGCTATTAATTGGAGAAATGAATTTAATAGAAATTAATTGGAGGTCTCTGCAGAGCAAAAGTGGGCGTTTCTGACATTGTGGGTTTTTTTCAAACCGTCACTATGACGCGAGCCAATCAGGTAACATGGTGGAAAACGCCCTGATCTGGTAACTCCCGTTACTGTCCTGCAGAGACCTGCACTTAATTAATTGTAATAATCCAGTGAGATTTTTGTCTGACAACAGCCAGTGATCCACACAGAGATCTGATCTCACCATCATCCAGTCCATCTGAGATTACATGAAAAAACTTCAAGAAACCTTCCTGCAAAGCCGCCTGAAAAACTATACCTAGGACAAAAGCTGTTTTAAACGCAAAGGGTGGTCCAAATCTATTTATGACATTATTTTTGAAAGCATCCTCACTTTACAGCATTTTTACGTAAGTGCCTAAAATTTTTCACAGTGCTGTAGCTTTGCAGTAAGGTTTCTTGAAGCATCTTGGAGACACACACACACATCCATATATATACACACACACACACACACACACAACTCTATATAGCTATCTTTGTGAGGACATTCATTGACACAATGCAATCTCTAGCTCCTTACCCTAAACCTACCCATCAGAACTAAGTGCTTGACCCAAACCTTTACCCTAAACCTAACCTTTACCCAAATATAACCTGACCCCTAAAACCAAGTCTTGACCCTCAAACAGGCCTTTAAAGGGGTCTCAGAAAGTTAGGACCGGCCAAAATGTCCTCACGCCAATGGTCTAAAACGGTCCTCACAAAGATAGCTGTACAAGTACACACACACACACACACAGGTTTGTTTTTGTGAAAAGTGGGGACATTCCAATAGGCGAAATGGTTTCTCTACTGTACAGACCGTATATTCTATTGCCCTACACCAACCCTACCCCTAAACCTACCCCTCACAGGAAACTTTGTGCTATTTCAGATTTTCAATACACTCCATTCTGTGTGATTTATAAGCGTTTTGAAAAGTGGGGACATGGGGTAATGTCCTGAAAAGTCACCTTCTCCTTGTAATACCTATGCCATACCATTGTCATTATACAAATTTATGTCCTCATTTGTCACAAAAACGCGCACACACACACACACATATACACACACAGACACACACAATACACTACCATTCAACATTTTTGAAATACTTTTTAAAAATACTTTTATACTAAATTCCTTAAAAGTGACAATGACATTTATAATGTTACAAAAGATTCTATTTAACAAAGAATCCTGAACTAAAATGTATCATGGTTTCCACAAAAATTTGAAGCAGCAAAAACTGTTTTCAACATTGATAATAATTAAGAACCATTATTAATAACTGAGCATCAAAAATAATTATTATATATTAGAATGATTTCTGAAGGATCAGGAGTAAGGATACTGAAAATTCAGCTTTGCATCACAGTAATAAATTACATTTATTCATGAATTACATTTATATTTGTGTGTGTTTGTTAGTCTGACATGCTGTGCTCTCTGGCGACCACACGCCCCACCGTCAACACAGAAGACCTGCTGAAGGTGAGGAAGTTCACAGAGGATTTTGGACAGGAGGGCTGAACCACGACACTCCATTAAATCCCAACATCCATTCGTATGTAGCTGTCCCATCTCAACCAGGACTATCTCCTCTAACTAACCCGCAGCCTGACGGCCAGGAGCATGTAGTCTATTCTAACCTCTCTAATCGCCCAACACTACAGAACATCACATTCATCAGTTTGGAAAGACGAAAGCGCAAGAGAGAGCATGAAGCTTGCTGTAAATTGTTTTGTGTTTACATTTACATAATCAAATTGATTGATGTATTCATTTTATGAAGTTTTTTGTCTGTCTGCCCTTAATTCTGAACCGGCTATGAACAATACAGCTCTCAGCAAAGATTTATGTTAATTTATTTTATTTAATTTAGTTGTTTTGAGTGCAGATCACTTTGAGCTTTAAAAGTATCTTTTGTGTCCAGCTTAGTATTGCAGCACTTTACTGAATAAACGTGGTCTGGGTGAATCTCTCAAAGACACGTCTGGGTCACATTTCACCCCAGAATTAAACAGGAAAAAAAATAAATTGTATTCAGATAGAAATTGAAGCCTGTTTGGACATAATTATTAATGCTGATTATTTTGAGATTTGCTTCATGATGCAGTGTCACAATGCAAAAAATAGGCTTGATGTTCTTTAATCATATTTTGGGTATTTGGGTTAAGAAAATCAAGTCTGTTTTACGACTTTTCTGATTTTTTGCAGTGATACAATGTTTTCAGTGTATCTTCCTTTGCCTGTGGGCTGAAATATGACCTGGCCATGTGTTTGACAAGCTAACCCATCAACATTTCACTTATTTAAAAACCGATCAAGCAGATTTGTTGTAATGAAGTGTGTTACAGACCATTAGCTGTCATTCATTCTGAAGAATAACATGCTGACCTGATCTGATAAAAAATGACTTTTAAAAGTATTTGTGCTTTGTTCAGCTGTATATACT